CCCCAAAACCCCAAAACCCCAAAACCCCGTGAAGGGAAAATTTGAAAGATTAAAGTAAATCTTAGTATCTTTGATAAAAGTTAGGCGTCTTAGCTTATTTTGGGCTTTACAATAAAATTCTCTATAGTTTGATATAATTGGCTCGTTCAGATACCCTTCATTCCATAAAAGTCTCTTAGTTTTTCCCAGACCATTAATTGAACTATGGTAAATGGGCCAAATCTCATCCACTAGGGTGTAAATCCCTTGTAAAAAGCCATTGGTCCCTCCTATTTGAAAATCTTTTAAATGCAATCTATCATTCCAGAATAAACTTTCTCCTCTAATGATAAAAATAAAGTCATATATCAATATCTTACTTCCTTAATTCATGATTCTGGTTTTAACGATATCGACTGGTGAGGTGACTACAGCTATACAAACACCAGCACAGACACTCGAAACAAAATGACACATATAGCCATCACTTAGAATATTGTAGTTAATAAGACTGTGCTTAATGTGATCATATGTAGCCAACTTTGTAGCATTCAGCAAAATTGCTCTGATTACAGTTGGGGTCACTCCTCTATAGAAACCCCAAAATCCTCCATTAGCATAAACATCATTGAAATGCCAAATCAAACCATGAGGTTTTCCCTCCCATGCTTGCATCCTCACTTTGAGGAGATCTGTTGGATTGGCTAATGCTGCTCCAATAAAACCAGACATTCCACCAGCCAGAAATTTAAGATAGAAAGGAGTGTTTTTATTATCAGTAGCTCCTAATAGCCTCTTGAAAGGCTCATACAGTCCAAGACGCAAAGATGAATAAATACTTTCCCTCATCCATGATGCTGTAATTCCTTTATAAAGACCTCTAATACTCTCTTCTTGGACAATCATGTACATACCTCTGAATACATTGTTATATTACTTGTTTGATGCACCTTTCTTTCCAATTTCTCCTTAAATCTGCAGCCTAATCTTAACTGTATCAATAGGATGGGTAACTGAAGCAGCTGTAACACTAGCAATACCAGCGAAAAAAGTTCTTATCACATCGCTTTCCTATGCTACACTCTTTTATACTTGATTTGGGTTATTCTAAGCTGTCATTTAATACTATCTATAATTTAAATATAAAATCTTATTCTCTTAGTTAATATTTCACTTAAAATAATTTAATTCATATAGAATCAAAGTAACTGAATTATCGATATATTCTTCTCAATCCAGTCACCCTTATAGCATAGAAGAAGATTATGATACTAATTAGTTTCATATACTCGCGAGCAAAGTAAATTATCATTTTCGAGATTACTGGTGCATTTGATTCATTTATTGCTGCTTACTTGACATTTTAGCATAGTTGCTGCTTCCATTTATGTTATTAGAGGTTATGTTAAGCATTGAAACATTTGCCCCATCATGTCCATTCACACTGCTATCTCTACCTCTGATCATTGATGTTTGATTAAGGTGGCTCGTCCCGCTTGTTCCATTTACACTTGAACCTGGCTTCTTTCTAATGTTCAATCATTAAAAAAACAAAAAAAGGAGCTTACTTGACGATTTTATAGTTTGATATCTAGGTACCCTATCCCATGTTATAGTGTCTTCTGCTAGTATTGCTTTACCCATTATTATTTTATTCTTGCTCATTAGCTGTCATATTTGCTGGAGCGTGATGACTGCGATCTGTCATCATTTAAGCTGAAGGTCTCTTGATTGCAAAAGCATTACCCGTGTTTACCTAGCTCTTGTCTAAAAGCACTTTAATTCCGTTATTAGAGGGCATAACCATCATCTTTTGCTGCTCTGTAGCTAGTCTTGTGTTATCACTTACAGTTCTCTTCTCTTTTTATCTATCTTAGTCACCACATCTTTCACTAACTATTTCTTTGTGTATTCTGGCAGTTTCAGCTTCTAACTCATCCATATCAATCCCAGGATCTCTATTGTCATTTCTAGAGGATTTTCTTTTGATAGCAATCTTCTATGTATTCTTAAACTCTCCCTGAATCTAAGTAAGTTTTTCCCTTAGTTTATTGAGGTCATTAGTGCTATTTGCATTATTTCCATTGTTGTTGATGCCTCTTGCACTTCTTTAATTAGAATAATCGCCTATAAAGGATTGTGGTCTTTGATATTGTTGCTACTAGGACTGATCTTCATGAGTTTACAGGATATTTTAGATGTTCTATCCAGAGATATTGGCAAGAGAACTTTTCCTTCCCATCAAACTCTCAATTGTTTTATTATTACTGGATTAATTCATTACTTGAGGTTGATTCAAGTTTTAAGCATTCATCATATTTTAAGGCATTTGATTCATTTACATATTCAATTAACTCTGAGAACCATTAGTATTGTTGAAAAAGTTTTAATTAGTCTACCTTGGCAAATTGGTGCGATCCATAGTTTCAAATAGCATCTGCTTAGCCATGATTACTTTACTATTACTTGATTTGTCGATGCTCTTTGAAAAATTTTGAGTGTGACCATTTTAGAGAACATTAGGATGTATGTTTTCTCTGTTATCCATTGAGTATATGAAATTATCAAATTCGCGAGTAGACTAGAGATCTTTGTAATTATTCCTTTGTTGATCTTGGTTGTTATTTGAGATATGTTATACCTATGGCTAGCTATTTCTGTGAACCATTCCTGTGTTGTTTTTCTAGGTTGCCTAGGGTTTCTCAATCTGCTAATTCGAGGAACATGTGGTTGTTGTAGTAATAGAGCCAGATGGAACAAGCCCTCCATCTAAGTTAGAGAAATGATTGCTATCCTAGGTGTGGATGTGATAAGAAGAGGAAATTGAGCTTTACAGTTTTTTAAGATGCATTATTTCTGTCTACAATCTTAATTGCTCCTTTTGATGCTACTTTTCTAATTGCTTTATTTTTTCTTCATAAAACTTTACCTTCTGCTAACCATCATCATTTGTATTAAGTTTCTTCTGAAGTTTATCATTCTGATCCTCTAGCTTAGAGATTTTATCTTCTCTCATCGTCAAAAGTTCATCCATGCGTTTGTTATCCTTTTTAAGTTTCTCAATTTACTCAATGCATTTCTTGTGATCACCCTTTTACTTCTCAGCCTCCTCCAGCTTATTTTGAATTGACTCAATATGTAGTTTCATTTGATGTTGAATTTTGATGTGCTCTCGAACATCTCTCTCTAGCTTCTGAATGATTTGCTCATACTCTTTCACATCGACTGAATGCTCTTGACTCTCATTTATCTATAAAAGTGTGTAAGCATTATTCAATTCATTTTGCGGAGGAATTCAAGATAAGAATAGTGAGATTACAACACATTTTCTTTATGAAAAATTACTTACATCATTTTCGAGAATGCTAAGTAGTTTGCTTTAAGAACACCCATCAGATTGAGAGCTATGTGCCTTTAAGCTATTCAAAATTTCAATGGAAGACTTTATGTATGAAATGATGACTGATAAATCCATGGTGCGAAGTTTTTACTTTTCCCTCTCAAGCTATTGATCAGAACAGTTTTCAATCTATATTGATATTCATAAACATATATTAGGACACTATAAATAGTCACTTACATCCTCATTTTTCCTAACCTTAACTGTGAGATAGAGATCAATGAGATCTTCCTGGATTGAGGCAGGGTTGGTGCAGGTGAATTATGAGATTTATGATTTGTTGAGATTCATATTCATTTGCATTTTCTATTCTTCTAAAATTTAAATTTTAACTGTTTTTACTAAATATCACATTTCAATCTATAATCTCACCCGGGGTTTTGGGGTTTTGGGG